ATGTAAAGCAAATAAAAATTCGAAATCAAAGTTTTTTACTATTGCTAAATGTTTACTCGTAAAAGAGAATACGTAACGTGTACATATCCCAGTGAAAAGCCGTAATGTAAGTAAACTAACAATTCGAAATATATTTCCTTTTACAATGAGAACTAGAATGAGTAAGTAGTGCAAACCAAAGGGGTATTGTAAAGATTCAGAATTCTGAATCGAGTTTTGCTGAAATGCAAACGAACAACGAGGAATAAGGCAAATATTTCGTTTTGTTTTACGGAAAAAAGCCATAACAGTTGACCACATCTGATACTGAATCTCTGCATCATGACATATGAGCAACAATTATTCTATTCATTATTTTGTTGCCATCAAAAGTATGAAAACATTATTCATGGAAAACATATTAATTTAATTTCTCCCGCTGCAACACTTTTTAAAATTTTATCCACTAATAAAATTGTAGTATGGGTTGTCAACATTGTTAGTTTTCATAAAATTGTAGTATGAATTTTCCCTTTAGCAAGTTTTGATGTAGGAAAACTCTCATAGTTTGTCTAGATCAAGGTATGTATTCCTAGATAGTTTACGCACTGGATTCTGCTTCTGCTAGCTTAAATTAGCTTCTGAAGTCGAGGTCGGTGGCACACTTGCACTAACTACGCGGATGGTGAAAGGTAGATTGTGTGTACTTCTAGCAGTAACATAGGGTTGGTCCTCTCCTGCTACGGTATCTTTCACTTTTAATATTTAGGTACATGATGCATGTACTTATGATTATAAATATTACTCTATGCTACGTTTTTAAGAAGGGTTCCAAAAACAGGCAAATTGTATCTCTTCTTTGCATTTTTTGTACAAGCGGTTCTACATTGAGAACATTAAATACTTTATCAGATAACCTGAACTGAATATCGGACGATCAGTGAGGATTGGCAACTGTCTAACAAGAACTTTCAGATTCTTCTCTTCTGGGAGGAGATACAAATGATAGATAAATTATGCTCGCTAAAAAGACTTGCTAACCTTCGATGCTCATCGGTGTTCTGTGATAGGATTTCATAATAACTTTTTGCCTCCTTTTTTTTTCTCGGTAATTTATAATGTTTCCTTGTTTCAAAGTTTCTATGAAAATATTTTTAAGAGTATTTATAGTCACCGACTGAAATGGGTGGTATTTTTGCGGAACGGTAGTCAGTAAGCTTATAGTGTTGCGAGGCCCCAACTTGTCAGCAACAGTGGTAGTGACTGCTATGAACTGTAAATTTCACAAACTCGTAAGAAGGGTTTAAATCCCTTTTTATTCCACTTTAGAAATAACAGCTGCGTTCACTTGACGCTCACAAAACTACGCCGACCCGGCGGTTTAACAAAACAGAAATTGAAACTAAAAATAAATGACAAGGATGAATAACGAGATCACTAACCTACGAGGCTCTAAAATCGTAACTAACTTAACAGCGTTCTAAGATATAGCTGAGATTCAGCAAGCTTTCTTATTAAAGCAGTTAAAGATTCAATGAACTGCCGAAATAGGCACACAGGCCGAAACGCGCGGTTCTTAAATTTCTGCCTAGCAACCTTCACGCTCGCGATTCAAGAAGCACACATACAATCTCGTTTCCCTTCTATTTAAACTCAACTTACTTCTGCTAAAATTTGAATAGACTGCGCGTTCTACTACAATTTACATACTCTGGCATTGGCAATTCTAGGGGAAAGTAAAGGCTCGACAGGAAAGATAGCTTAAAATAAATGTTAGTTAAAATAAATATAAACCCTATACAAGCTCCTGATAATCAAAATTTAGCATGTGTTTTTTTTTTTTTCAATATTTCTTTTGCTGGGTTAAATTTACTCCGTTGTCCTCATGGAAGTTTTCTTTTACTTTTGATCTTTTATTCGATTTTACTTTTAGTTTGAGCGTCATTTCGCACAGAACTTTAATGGTATGTGTCTATTCATTTTGTTCAACAGTCGCAGCATTTTTGAGTCAACTTATTTCCAAGAGCGACAGAGTTATTATCCGTAGAAGTCGAACTAAGCGGATCCTTAGAACCTTTTACTAGAATGTTTTCACCCCATATATTCAATAATAATAGAAGTAATACTAATATACATAATTTCAATCGATTTGTTTTCAAGTTTAAGCTTTGAATTTTAAAACAAAATCAGAAATCTTTATTTTTATCAAAAACGCAAACTCAAATTTCTCTTCAAAAGAAATCTCCTCATTATAGTCCTTAATTTAGCTCAGCTAATTTAACACATATGTTTTTAATAAATGTTGTTTTCCAATTTAATCTGAACCTATTCATGACTAAAATAATCTTATCCAAGTCAACAATAATCCAAAATAAAAATGTTTCTGTCTGAACTCCTGTCCTAACCAAATTCAGAAATCAACCCCAAAACAAAAATAATTGCTTACCCGTGAAAAGGAGATGCTATATACTCTTTTTGCAAAGCAATAATCCAAAGAAAAGTAAATCACATATGTCAACCAGCAAATTCACATTCCAAATTACACTGTCCATGTAACATTAAGTCCAAACACCAAATATTCGCTGAAATCTCAGGGACACACAGCAAAATGTTTAAAGATAATTTAAGAACAATTAGAAATAAGTACACATACAATGCGGTGTAATTAACCTGCCGCAGGAATACATTGTGATTCAAAATCTCTTAAACTTCGCCATTCTTTGAAACTCCTTTATACTTACCACCCAAACATTTACCGTTAGGAAAGAGCCAATTTCATCCAAACATCCTTTATCAACCATTTCGCATCTTCTGATTACTTGGTGCAAGGCTGCAGAAACATTAAATACTTTGTGAAATTTGCAAAGCATAATAAACGCAAAGTAATGAATCTTCCTATGTTACTTAATAAAGTTTTGACAAGAAGGTGAACATAGGAAATCTGGAAAGTCTTCATGCAATAGAATACAGTAGATTCCAAAACTTAAACTGATTAAGAATAATAAACTTTGCATATTCTGTAGTACACCTTTTAATATACTTTCAATCATATCATCAATTATTTTCTAATATACATTAAATGCTCTACAAAAATAGTGCTATGTTTCGTACAGCTTCGTTTAAAGTATTGCATTCTTACAATAATTATGTTTATTAAATTGTTCTTGTCCCGTTATCTTCTGAGTCCGGCATATTCGGTAATAAAGTATTACCGATGACCCAAAATTGCCAGACTATCAGGCTTTTGTGCAGTATCATTAGTTAATTTTATCTGATTTGGCTAGTTTATCATATAGGTTCGTTTGCGACAGAAAAATGTTCCAATGATTCTTCATGTCACTAAACTGTTAATACTAAGTTTTTATTTCATGTCGGCCTAGCTGATAATCTATATTCAGAAAAAGAGAATGTTCAAGTGACGTCAAGGAAATTTTGCAAATGGTTATGGATAATTTGAGAATAATAATTCAGTGAATAAATGCATGAAGCCTATGGTTTTTATCCTATATTTTGTAAACGATAAGTAATGAGATAATTCAATAATCTTAGATCAACAAAAAAATCCATAATAGAAAGCAAAAAATAAAAGTATTAAATTTATAAGAACGGTTTTTGATGTTGTGGAGGTGACTACAGATAAATTGAAAATCGTTTCATTGTATTCGAGGAATAATAAAGTTTAGTTGATAATTTCCTTTTTATATTTGAACGGTCCCCTATTATTCACTCAGCCAAAATATAAAGACAGAGTTTTTTTTTTTTTTTTTTTTTTTTTTTTTTGTAAGTTTTATGTTTGCATTTAATTTGTAACGTTATCCGCAGTTTTACCTTGGCTGAATCCCAGGATGCCCTCATTTGTAGTGTTTAATTGGTGCAGTCTGTGAATGGCTATATATGACGGGATTATTCCTGTAAGGTGAGCCGAGCGGCATCCGAAGGCTCTTCTCTTTCATTACTTTTCTTAAACAAATTTCAACAACGTTGTGTAAGATAAATTCACTAAGCAACTCTATTATTATTATCATCACAATTATAGTTATTTTACAGAAGAATCCACAGAAAAATAAAATTATCTAAAATAGTTAGTGGTCGAAAGGGTTCAGTTCATTAAAATTAATTTCATAATACCTAACTTCAAAATCTGTTATTTTTAAAACTTGTTTCTAAGCAGGCATAAGAACTCGAAATAATGATTCCAAAAAACATAATTCTCAGAAGAAAATTTCAACTTTTTTGTAATTTAGACCGGAATTTACAGTTAAATTAATCCATTTGTTCTTATGATGCATAGAATAATTCTGTTCCAGAAGAAATTAATTTTAAAATGCTATCAAAATTTATTACTTCCAGCCAAAATTAATCCTTCAGTACATTTTGCAATAAGATCCTCTATTATAAGAAATATGCAAAAAGGAAAATATTTCTCAAAAGTGCATGAAAATTCTACTCTTAAAAGATTTCCTTTCTTATTACCTGAAAGGACTATTAGTCTCGAAACAAGATTTTGCGTTGTTTCACTTTTCATTTGAGTCTGTTGCCGTTCGGCAAAACGTACGATATTTATCTTTCATATTGAACTCATTTCTTCTTGATTAAGAAACTAAACAATATGTTTTTACTTTTTAATCTGATTGATTTTTAAAAAGGTGCATTATATACCTAATTAAAAACATTAAATACATTTATAGAATAACGTTATACATTTCTTCATTTTCCAAATATACAGAAGATATATAGCGTTTCCACGTTAACGTAAATGCATATTCATTTATTATCCTACAGAACTGATAAGCTCTACCGAAAACTCAAATTCAACTTTAAAAGAGTCTTTTTGGTAGACCATTAAAATCTAAATCCTCTCAGACATTTTTCTTTCGCTATGAGTTTCTTTCTTAGAGTAGGTAAGAGCATTTGTATTGTAAAGTGTTAGTATATTAGGATTTTTTAAAACAGTCTTAATGTAATAGCATGTGTAAAAATGATATAGAAAAATAAAATTGGTGTACTAGGCAAAAGAAGTCTTTAAAGAAAGATTTATTATTTGATTGTTAGCCATTTACCATACATAAGTCATAACTGTAAAGCTTTCACACTTTAATATGCAGCAAAACTGAAGCAAAGAATGTCGAGTAAAAGGTTGCAGGGGAGATATTTAATCGCGTACTATAATTTTGTACAAAATTATTCCTAAATTGTTTTAATAATCCTTGAATTATTTCTACTGTTTTTGAAATATTAAATGAAATTTAAACTAATTTTGAAATTTCTTCTTTGTACAAGTTTTTTGCATTCTATTTTTGAATTTAATTCTTGTATTAATACAGAAAGCAAGTATCAATACGCTTGGAATTTGAGGCATATAACTGCAACAGTTTCGCTTTATATTCGGTGTTATGATAGTAGCTCATATGTGTACGTAAAACGTAATTGTTGAACATATATTAGCACTTGAATCAAATACTAGGAGCTACTGTTTATTCTCTTGTGCTGTAGGATCAGCAGCATCAGTATTTTCATTTCCTTCTTCCTCCGATAAATCGCTTGAATCAAACTCAAACGAATCGCTATCTGTGTAGTAGGAAAAATCTGTCCCTTCATTATTCTCAAGCGCATGCTCTGTTGAAATGTTATTCGTGGTCTCTATACTCTCTTGAAATGCGTTTAAATTTCTTCTAGAGGAATTAATTGAAATATCTAAGTTGCTGCTTGATAAAGTGTTCCTAATTTGTTGACGGTTTGCAACAACCGAATTGTTTTGGGGAGATGCAAAATCACCACAAGCAGATTTAAGACCAGGTTCGACATCAGTGGATTTTGGCGAAGTTTTCGAACTACTGACTGTTTGCTGTTTTTCAGAATCTTGAGATGATGCTCGATCACCTTCAGCTAAAACTCCTAAATTAAATTCATGACCATCAGACAGAGATTCATTACTGTCAGTATTTAAGGATTCCGGCTTAGATCTTGTTTCTTCATTGTTTGAAAATGTACAGAGATCAATAATATTTTCAGCAGTTTGAAGGCAATTTAATAACTCTGGAGTACTTGCGGAAGTCATATAACTTTCTTGGAGTAGTGGAACATAGGAGCTGGAAGTTGGTGTCATATTTTGCATGAAACTTTCATTCTGTTCTCTTCTTTCAGACATCGAAAGCTTCTCGTGAGAATTAATCTTTTTTAATGTGTCATATGAAACCTTGTTTTCCTGCACTGACGGTTGCTCATTTCCTTCTGGGATAAAATCTGTCTTAATTTGTTTATCATTTTGACTAACTTTTATCTGCAAGTGGTCTTCAGGAATCTTTCGGGAAAGTTGTTTTTCGTTGACAATAGATCCTTCTGGTATACTAAGCTTCCCATCATTACTTTCCGAGATATCTTCTAATTCGTTAGTGTGAAGATAGAGCTCATTTTCATCACATATTTCAGAAAACTTAATGTTTTCGAATTTACTTACAGCACAATCGGTTTCTTTTTCATGAGTTTGCTTTTCATTTTTATCTGAACTATTATAATTTGCTGGTTTTTCAGAGGTATCTTCTCTTTCTTTAAGAATGTTTTCGCAACGTCTGTTGGGACTCGGCAGATCATTTCGGTTTCTTGAAGGGGAAGTGGATTGAATTTGAGTCAACATTCTGTTAAACTGAGGAAGTTGAACCCTCTGACCATATCTAAGCAATCGCTGTCTCTGTGGATCCACATCACCCTTTTCTCTGATTACAGGTAAATTTCTACGACGTCTTTTGGACGAAGGAACTGGTAACTGAGGCTTACATGGGTGTAGTGATGGTCCAAGATTTTGAGACATTTTTGATAAATGATGATCCAGACGGGGGTGCGATGCATACCATTTTCTTTTCCAAGATTCATCAATTGAATCATCTTCATCATCAGTTCTGAATCCTATATTAGTAACTCCATGCTTATTCTTAGTATCATTCATCATGTTTAATCCCTTGTCTGTCTTATAAAATAAGGTTTCGTTTAAATCATAATTATTTTCTTTTTGAAGTCTATTGGTATCAGAAGCAACGAGCTCTCCAGTTTTTTTGTTCTCTTTGACTAGAACTGCAGCATCTTCTTCCTTTTTAATCAACTGCTTATGCTTGTCATGAACTTCGCTCAAAATTTCATCTTGCCTGCTTACTAGGCTGCACTTCTCCTTAGTTTTCGACAGCAGACACTTTTGACTATCTATTGAATAAGAACCTCCTAAAGCATTTCCCTGTCTTCCTGATGTTATATTAAACTGATCAACCATCTTCTCTTTTTCTTCTTCTGGAGAGTTATGACTTTCATAACAACTTTCACCATTCTTTTTGAAAGCAATCTGGCTCTCTAAAGTCTCATTCCTCTTCTCTTGTGATTTCTGAATATCGCTTATCTCTTTGGGTTTCGAAAATTCATCATCCAAGTTACTTTCAGTGATACTGAATTCTTTCTCCAATTCGCTGAACGAACTGCAAAAATTTTTCCCAATACTTTTAATTTCAGCGGACGTTTTCAGGTGCATTCCTGAGTTATCGTTCATAACCTCATTCATATCCTTTTCATTCCTTTCCTCGTCCACTATCTCACTGATGAAATATTTTACTCGGGAATTAAATCCAGAAGGTGAACTTGCAGAAATTCTTTTTCTGGATTGCAATTCGCTTTCTTCTCCCTCATCTATATGACACTGATAAAGAGAATCAATTAAATCATCGACTTTGTTATCTAATTCAGGAGACTCCGATTTAATGTGCAATGGTTCTTTATCCTTACTTTGCATGGACCAATATTTACAAGTACCTCTTGCCTGCTGCATACTTCCAAGGGACAAGACTGATGCAAAATATCCCTTTATTTCACGTTCACCATCATCAGACTCATACGGAGGAGCCGATGGCATGCATTCAGTACATTCTTTAAGGTCTGTATGTTGGACTGTCCAAAATTCTTCATTTACTCTTGACTCGAAAGAACTGTTGTACGAATATTCTTCTTTATTCTTGTCTTCGATTGGTCGTGCATCTCCTAATTTGCCAGTTTCCTCAGCATATTCTAGAAACATTAAAAAAGGGTATTTTTATTAGAAGAATTCATATTCACGCAAAATTAAAGAAGTAAAAATTTCAGTTTATTTAAGTGTTAACTTTCTTCCATCCATAGAAATATCTTTTATTCTTTCATACAACATTTTAAAAGACAAAGCTACTTCAGAAATCAAACAACAAAAATCAGCGTTATATTTACAAAGTTTTCACAGGACTAGTTTCGATGGTTTTACCGAACCACCATCTTCAGCTGCAAAACCGCAAATGAACAAGATAGGAAATAATGATTAGATAAGATAAGAAAGCCTGGACAAGAATAAGCAAGTGGCGCCATCTGTTGGTAAAACCAGAACTAAAACATAATTTCTTTAAAGGCCGAAGGCAAATTTGGATTGGAATTAGGATCGTTAACTAGAACAGAAAGATTTTTTATGAATGTGAAATGCCTCTAGAAAATCCAGTTCTCCAATGGAAGATGTTTTTTGAATAATTTTGGCAGCAGAAAAACTGAAAGTGTGGTTTTCGGACCAGCAATGTTGAGCAACAGAAGACTTCTGTGTTTCCTTTTTTCTAACATATGCCTCATGTTCCTTGACGCGAAATTTTAAGGCTCTCTTAGTTTGGCCAATGTAAATTAAACCACACTGGCAAGGAATCCTATAAATACCCCAGGAATTCATATCCGGAATGGGGTCCTTGAGTATGGAACTCGGAATTTTATTGATGGGAGAATAAACAACCCGAAAGTTAAATTTCTGCAAAATATGTGCAACTTTGTAGCTAATTGATGGAGAGAAGGGAATGACAACAGAATTTTTATAATCTCCTAAAACAAGATTGTGCCTTTTAGTGTGTTGAGATGAGAATTTTTTAACTGCTTGATTAATAATGTTGGGTGGAAATCCCCTGTCAATAGCTATTGCTTTTAAATACTTTAGTTCTTCATCAAGGGCTAGTTTGGAGGAGCAAACTTGAAGAGCACGGAAAACATAGGAATAAAATGAAGCTAACTTTTGTTTAGTCGGATGACATGATTTAAAGTGTGGTGGAAGGCAAACCGATGAAGGTTTACGGTAAACCGTAGTACTGAAGTTGGATGTGTTACGTGTGACCAGAATGTCGAGAAACGGAAGAGAATTGCAAGCCTCAAGTTCAAAAGTGAACTGAATAGCAGGATCAATAGAATTCATTGTTGAAAGAACTTTATTTAAATCATCTTTATTACCTTCAAACAGAGTAAAAGTATCGTCTACGTAGCGGAACCATGCCGTGAAGTTTAAGTTTCAAACAATTTTGATTCATAATAATGCATGTAGATATCAGCCAGGATGGGACTGAGGGGGCTTCCCATGGCTAATCCCTCAGTTTGCTTGTAATATTTATTTTGGAAAACAAAATGTGTTTGTTTCAAACAGAGTTGAGTGAGAGAAATTAGCTCATCAATTTCGATGCAAGAGAAATGAAATTCGCGAAGTCTGGTTTCTAGACATCTTAATGCACCCTCCACTGGGACATTGGTAAATAATGATTTTACATCAAAAGAAACCATGAGTAAATTACTAGGAGAAATGTTTTTAACATTTTTTACAAACTCTATTAAATTTTTTATGGTGTAAATGTTATTGTCTAATAGAGTTGAAAATCTAGAAACTAAATATTTAGCTAATGGATACGAGGCAGTACCTAAATTTGATACAATAGGGCGGAAAGGAATACCACTTTTATGAATTTTGGGAAGAGCATATAATCTGGCACAATTCGCAACAGATGGGATAAATGAATGTTTTAAGTTGGCTGAAATGATTTGCGAAGATTTGATCGCAGTTTTTATTTTTGACAAATCCGAAGGTGAAGAATCTTTAGGGATCGGATTATATGGTCCTTCGTTTAAGAGTTTAGTGACACCATCGATGTAAGTGTTCCTATCCATGACGACTATCTGGCCACCTTTGTCGGCCTTTGAAATAATAATATCCGGGTTAGAATGAATTTCACGCAATGTAGCTCTTTCTCTCGCTGTTAGATTTGGTTTCAAAGGTTTATTATTGAATTTCACATTATGAGCGATAAGATGCCTAATCATTTCTTTCTGTGCCTAATCATTTCCACCCAACATTATTAATCAAGCAGTTAAAAAAATTCTCATCTCAACACACTAAAAGGCACAATCTTGTTTTAGGAGATTATAAAAATTCTGTTGTCATTCCCTTCTTTCCATCAATTAGCTATAAAGTTGCACATATTTTGCAGAAATTTAACTTTCGGGTTGTTTATTCTCCCATCAATAAAATTCCGAGTTCCATACTCAAGGACCCCATTCCGGATATGAATTCCTGGGGTATTTATAGGATTCCTTGCCAGTGTGGTTTAATTTACATTGGCCAAACTAAGAGAGCCTTAAAATTTCGCGTCAAGGAACATGAGGCATATGTTAGAAAAAAGGAAACACAGAAGTCTTCTGTTGCTCAACATTGCTGGTCCGAAAACCACACTTTCAGTTTTTCTGCTGCCAAAATTATTCAAAAAACATCTTCCATTGGAGAACTGGATTTTCTAGAGGCATTTCACATTCATAAAAATCTTTCTGTTCTAGTTAACGATCCTAATTCCAATCCAAATTTGCCTTCGGCCTTTAAAGAAATTATGTTTTAGTTCTGGTTTTACCAACAGATGGCGCCACTTGCTTATTCTTGTTCAGGCTTTCTTATCTTATCTAATCATTATTTCCTATCTTGTTCATTTGCGGTTTTGCAGCTGAAGATGGTGGTTCGGTAAAACCATCGAAACTAGTCCTGTGAAAACTTTGTAAATATAACGCTGATTTTTGTTGTTTGATTTCTGAATTAGTATTTATTCGGCGTGCTATTGTGTCTTAATTATAGAAGCCCCAAACAGGCTTACTTTTTGCTTTCTTTTTTGCACGTGGTGTGGCCGCACTTTTGTGATTGCATGACTTTCTGTAAGTACTTTTTTGCAATTTTCAAGTTATGTTTATATTTTGTATATTTGGATATTGTGCTTTGCTTGTCTGATTTCATGCATTTTGCTTACAAACGTTTTGTTTTCTATTAATTTCAGTGAGGGATTTTTCTGCTGTTTTGTGTGTGCTTTATTATTTAGTTAATTTAGTTTGATTTTCTGAATTGTTTATCATGCCTTCATCCGTTAATCGTTTCACTAAATTACGCCTGAAACGGCAAAAATTCCTGAATCATCTTGACTTTTTACTTAAATGTAAATGTAGAAAATTGATCCCCCCAATTTTATTCAAATCAAATCAATCAATCAAAAACCTTCGAGTCGCGTTTCAAGAATTCTGTTAAATTGCAAGCTTGCCTTACTTCGGTCCGTCATAAGGGATACACGTCAACAATTGTCCAAAATTGAACGTGAACTCTATAAGCTTCATCTGGAACTCGCTAAATCATATCCAAAATTCACTGCCCTTGAACAAAAGTCTTGGTCTAGAACGGAGAATGCAGTTAACCGTCATAAAAACACACCCTTGCAGTTAAATTCGAAAAACTTCTTTTACAATCTTCCAGTTCAAGTAGTTAAAAAAATCTTCCCATTGTAAACATCAAGCCAATAGTTAATATTTCTAATGTTAGTCTTTCAGAAGAACAAGAGAGAATTCTAAAATATAATTTTAACTTCTCACAAACCTGTAAACCCTCGATTCCAAAGATTTTAGCTCCTATCGAAAAAGCTTTCAAGTTCAGTAAAGTTTCATATTCACAGAAAGAAATGATTAGGCATCTTATCGCTCATAATGTGAAATTCAATAATAAACCTTTGAAACCAAATCTAACAGCGAGAGAAAGAGCTACATTGCATGAAATTCATTCTAACCCGGATATTATTATTTCAAAGGCCGACAAAGGCGGCCAGATAGTCGTCATGGATAGGAACACTTACATCGATGGTGTCACTAAACTCTTAAACGAAGGACCATATAATCCGATCCCTAAAGATCCTTCACCTTCGGATTTGTCAAAAATAAAAACTGCGATCAAATCTTCGCAAATCATTTCAGCCAACTTAAAACATTCACTTATCCCATCTGTTGCGAATTGTGCCAGATTATATGCTCTTCCCAAAATTCATAAAAGTGGTATTCCTTTCCGCCCTATTGTATCAAATTTAGGTACTGCCTCGTATCCATTAGCTAAATATTTAGTTTCTAGATTTTCAACTCTATTAGACAATAACATTTACACCATAAAAAATTCAATAGAGTTTGTAAAAAAGTTAAAAACATTTCTCCTAGTAATTTACTCATGGTTTCTTTTGATGTAAAATCATTATTCACCAATGTCCCTGTGGAGGGTGCATTAAGATGTCTAGAAACCAGACTTCGCGAATTTCATTTCTCTTGCATCGAAATTGATGAGCTAATTTCTCTCACTCAACTCTGTTTGAAACAAACACATTTTGTTTTCCAAAATAATATTACAAGCAAACTGAGGGATTAGCCATGGGAAGCCCCCTCAGTCCCATCCTGGCTGATATCTACATGCATTATTATGAATCAAAATTGTTTGAAACTTTAAACTTCACGGCATGGTTCCGCTACGTAGACGATACTTTTACTTTCTCTGTTTGAAGGTAATAAAGATGATTTAAATAAAGTTCTTTCAACAATGAATTCTATTGATCCTGCTATTCAGTTCACTTTTGAACTTGAGACTTGCAATTCTCTTCTTTTCCGTTTCTCGACATTCTGGTCACACGGTAACACATCCAACTTCAGTACTACGGTTTACCGTAAACCTTCATCGGTTTGCCTTCCACCACACTTTAAATCATGTCATCCGACTAAACAAAAGTTGGCTTCATTTTATTCCTATGTTTTCCGTGCTCTTCAAGTTTGCTCCTACAAACTAGCTCTTGATGAAGAACTAAATTATTTAAAAGCAATAGCTATTGACAGGGGCTTTTCACCCAACATTATTAATCAAGCAGTTAAAAAAAATTCTCATCTCAACACACTAAAAGGCACAATCTTGTTTTAGGAGATTATAAAATTCTGTTGTCATTCCCTTCTTTCCATCAATTAGCTACAAAGTTGCACATATTTTTGCAGAAATTTAACTTTCGGGTTGTTTATTCTCCCCATCAATAAAATTCCGAGTTCCATACTCAAGGACCCCATTCCGGATATGAATTCCTGGGGTATTTATAGGATTCCTTGCCAGTGTGGTTTAATTTACATTGGCCAAACTAAGAGAGCCTTAAAATTTCGCGTCAAGGAACATGAGGCATATGTTAGAAAAAAGGAAACACAGAAAGTCTTCTGTTGCTCAACATTGTGGTCCGAAAACCCACACTTTCAGTTTTTCTGCTGCCAAAATTATTCAAAAACATCTTCCATTGGAGAACTGGATTTTCTAGAGGCATTTCACATTCATAAAAATCTTTCTGTTCTAGTTTAACGATCCTAATTCCAATCCAAATTTGTCTTCGGCCTTTAAAGAAAATTATGTTTTAGTTCTGGTTTTACCAACAGATGGCGCCACTTGCTTATTCTTGTCCAGGCTTTCTTATCTTATCTAATCATTATTTCCTATCTTGTTCATTTGCGGTTTTGCAGCTGAAGATGGTGGTTCGGTAAAACCATCGAAACTAGTCCTGTGAAAACTTTGTAAATATAACGCTGATTTTTGTTGTTTGATTTCTGAATTAGTATTTATTCGGCGTGCTATTGTGTCTTAACAAAGCTACTGTTTACAAACAATTTCATATTTCGCTACTTAAGCAAAAAATGTGTAAATAAGCTATATTTATGTTTCCGCATCTATTTGTTTAAATATATTTACGTTTTTAGATACTCATGGCTTTCCTTTGCGTTAACCAGGACAGGGGGTGATTTGAGTGTCCTTCACTCGACGCTTTGAGATTCTACGTTCTGTAGAGCTGTATTCTACGCTCCTAGAAATACCCTCAGTTTGTAGACTGCAGGATACCGTTACTAGTGAAAACCAACTTTATCCACCTTTGCATATTTTGCGAGTACACAAGCGATAAAAACGAGGGAAAAATAGTTACCGCGTCGTCAATTAAGTTTGTGCAATTGACGAACGGTCCAAGTTGATCACGGCAGTGTATGTGTTTTCCCCACTACACTTCATAAATGATATGTGGTGAGCTGAGAGAGTATTTGGAGTCCCATTCGAAAAATAGGAATGAAATTTCCACTGAAAGAAAGATAAGGTCTTTATACATATCCCAAAATTACTGTACATCATCTGCTATATATATGTATATGTGTATATATATATATATATATATAATGTTCCAGACATAGATGTAATGATATTGGAATGTCAATTGCGTGATATTGAGATACTGATCCGATATGAACAGCAAAGTTGGTGGCAGAGGCATATTAAATATTCATCTTTATTTCAACAAATATTTGCGGCCACAAATTTGGCACATTGATGGTACCTATTCCAGAACAGTTACATTTTTGATTTTTTTGCAACATGAAGAGAAGAACCTCTTAGCGAGAACAGAGTAAGGAACAAAGTGTCTTGTCTTCAGGATAGAAATTTAATTGAGAATAAGTCACTTTAGATTTCATTGCATTTTGATTGGATGATTAATAATGGAATAAAATCATTATTAACTGATTGAGTTCCATTTACCTTACCAGCTCTATAAGAGTCGTATGATATGGTCTTAAAATGAAGTAGTTCATAAAAAGATATTACTTTTTTAGAATACAGAGGGGAAATAATCAAATTAAAAATGAGTATAAGGGTTTGCTAATTTAAATTTTAACTTATATTTATGTATTTTTTTATCTTACATATATATTTCCTTTAACAATATAAGAGATTATTGCTTCCAGTTTTCCATAAAATATTTCTCTACCACATATTTTTTTCATTAGTTAATAATATGTAGACATTCTAAAGGATTTAATGGATTTATGTATAACAAGGGTTAAGTTAATTTTAAAGTATAACAGGAGAATATCTTACGAACAATATTGCGAACACAGTAAGGAATATTTTTCATTTTTGAGTGAAATTCACTCTACTGTAAAATATTAAAAGAAAAGATTATAAAGCTCTAAAATATTACATTTTTGTAACTACTATGACACTTTTATAAATTATTGTTATTTGTGTATTTTATTACGAAAAATATTCACATTATAAGTTCCAATTAAACCCTTTAATAATTTTTGCAGAGTTATTATATTTCAATGAAAATAAACTGTTACTGTGTGTTTGAACATGATATTATTTTTACAATAAAAAGTTAATGTATTGGTAAATTATTAAATGATTAAAATTTTTAACAGTGAGAGAGGCGTTAGTTTTAAAAAATATATTGTTATAATCTGATATATAAGAAACTATATTTATTAATACAACAAATTATAGAAATATCGGTAAATTTGAAACTTAGAGTCATTGGATCTAAATCATATTTATCGATGAAATATTTCACGCATAATTTATAATTGCTTAACTTATTGTTACGTACTAAAATGTTTTAGCAAGATGATAATATATAACTAATAGGATAGCAACATTATAAGACAAAGGATGTTTTCATAAAATAGTAATTTATAATCTATTAATATTAAAAATAATAATTGTTTACACGCAAACTTAATAAAAAAATGAGAATGAGCTGTTGAGAACACAGTTACAAATTTTATACTGTAAAAGAGACGCTGTTTGTTATTATAGTTTTCTATTATATTGTTAGATGAATACATACTCACTTGCACGTATATGACATTGCAATACGTCAAAAGGATAAAACGCTGGTTGCTCATTTATTCTGTTTTACAAAAGTGCTGATTATCCCACGCTATTTTATGTGATTTGACAGTCACATGCGGAAAATGATATATTAGTTAATATGTAGTGTCTTTATATTCATTTGGGCAGATATTGAAAAATTTAGTAGATTTTTGGAATTTTGTTTGTCTTGGAAATAATGTGGCCTAATTTTCTGCTCTTGTTAATTTTATAAAGATTATTAAAAACCATAACTGGCCACGTCCATGAAAAACCATAAAAATTAAATTTTAAATAATTACATTTATCTGATTGTAAGGTATTTTCTCTTTCCTATCCGCATGTCTTCGTGATGTAATCAGCAGCACGCTCGACGCGTATTCCGGGTATTTTTTTTTTTTGAATTTCTTGTGATGTTGGACAACACAGGATTAAAATGATAGGTTTCCAAAGCCCATTTATAAAATTTTACAGCTTAATTTTATCATTAAAAATGAAAAAAATTATTTTATTTAAAATCTGTATGAAAAAGGCAACCGACTGAAATTAAAATGGAATGTTTTACTATCATTTTGTGCAAAAATGCTGGTGGATATTTCTATTGATTCAGCTCAAATGTGCTCGTATTTCAAAATAGCATAATCAATGAGTAAAATAAAAAATTATTTCATTATTTTACATTTATAAACATTTCTATATTAAATTAAAGATAACATCTTCAAAGTAATTAGAATTATTTACCTTCATCTTTCCCTGCAATGTTGACTTGGTCACCAATTGGCATCGCGGCTTCTGCAGGATCGAAAATGACTGTTCGTTTCCCAGATGCAGGTCGTGCATTTGGAGAACCACTCCAAGAACTTGTTTCTCGTAGCTGTAGCTTTTCTGAGGTTTCGGTCAAAACGGGTAAACTTGTTGATCCTTGTACGTGAGGAAGCGTGGTAGCTTGACTTTCCATATAATTTGTTTGAGAAGAAAGGTTACTACTTTGCAAACAATCAGGTTCTACGTCGAAGAAATTAGTATCAATAACTAAAAAGTAAATAAATAATGAATTCATTTTTCAAATACTCACATGCAAATATTCTCAAAACTCACGTATAAAGGAGATACAGAACATCCACGCGTAATATATTTACATAGGAACGCATGACCGTCAGAGATAGAAGAGACAAAAAGCACAGCAAAAACATAATAGAAAAAACAGTATAGAACGCTTTATTAAGCAAAACTTAGCAGTGCAACAGTTGATATATACGAAATACGGTTACACAAGATGTATCGATAATTCACAGTGATGTATGCCTGTCACCGATGCCCCAGAGTTGCCAAACATTTTCAAAAATACTTTCAATTTCGCGGATATTAGCAGACGCTCATCCATAAGGTCAGCTTAAAGTGCATGTTCACCAACTCAAAGTTCATAAAATGGGGTATGTTTTAAGCGTTAATAAAGAATTTCCAGGTACCAATCTTAAGAACTGGCGTACAACGCCATCTATGCGTTTCCGTTCAGGCAGTGAATGTAGATCTTATCGATAATCTCAACTTCCCTTAAAAGTCTAAGCTGTATTCATTCTGTAAAGTGGCAAGTTTTGATGGACTTATGATTAGCGCAATTTAAGAATTCCATTTAGAAAATCTAGAAAGAAGTTTGTGCTATTGTTTACAGACTGAATATTTCCCAGTAGTATTGGCAATCTCTCTAACTAGTTATACAATCACATTTTATTTAGAAGAATTATTTCAATAAACGAGCAAAACAACATATTATTGTGAAATGAGAATGATTGCCCAAGATGTCTTAACTCTGAGAATCCATCTTGCATTCATTTCTCGGAAACTGAGTGGAATTCTGCATGGGGTAATTCGACATTTTATGTCGACAGAAGTTATGTAGAAATCATCCACTGCTATTCTGGGTTTTATATCCAATGAGGACACGATATTTATTAAATAAATCTAAGAATGTAAATTTTAAAATAAAAATTAAATTCATTTTTTATCCTAAAATGCATTTGCCTGCGTAGTGTATTTTCATTGTGTGCTTATAATTATAATTTAGAATGGGCTCGTGATTTCTTATCATTAGCAATATTATAAATGATTATTACTATTACATTTATTTTCCCATTATAATTATTTCTGTTACATTTACTATTATATTAGAATTTATAAAAATTCTTGTAAAATAATTTTAAAAATTTTAGAAGTTTCCCTTTTCTGTGCACATATTACTAATTTGATATCAGTCACTATTATTTCCTTCAGCTCTACGTAAAAGTACAGAGTAAACGAGTTTAACTAACGAATTACCATCTTAGCTTAGAAAGCGAATATTGGTAATTAAGCCGTTGGCGTTGTATCTCTCATAAACCTCTTGATTGAATAACTACACTAGCTTTTGGTGAATTTCTGGTTTTGCTAGTTTAGAAATTGTACATAAATTAGGTTAATTGGTTATTTAAACATGAGAAACCATAAAAGAGACTCTCTTTCTAAAGTAGGAGTGCCTTCATGGAGAACTTTTCTAAGGAAAAGTGGCTCTTATTAAAGTTGCACAAATAAAAGAGAAATCACTAAACCAGCCGTACATTCAACCCTTTCGCCTGTGTTTGACACCGCGACAAATTATTAACATTCAGCAGCCTATTAGGAGCCAAGTTATTAGACTCTAATTTAGTATTTGGTTTGAGGATATTTAAATATTGTTATATTCTCAGGCACAAAATACCCTTGAAGCTCAAGCAATCATTCTTCCAAGAAATACATGGACAAAACAGCAATAATAGAAAGCGAAGTTTCGTTAACGCGTTAGTTTTAAAACTACAAAGTCGTAGTGCAAATGAAAGTTTAGCTACATTTGCTATTACTGTACTCATTCAGTGTTCCTGGAATCTGAGCTAAAGAAAAGACGATTATCCCCCTGCATTATTCACCCAAGGAAAATTAAACAGGTATTTAGATAAAGTGGCATTATGTCATTATGTTTGTCTTTGGAGCTGAAGTGTCAAAACATTGTCGCAATTTTAAAATAGTTGACTAAGTAACTGTCTGAAATAGCTGAGAATTAAGCAGATAACTTTTTTTATGTTATTCAGTTAGAAACTGTTCTAATGCACTATAACGCACCTTCCCACTGGTCAATAACCACTCGGCAAAGCCTCTGTCTGAAAATTAGTACTTGTACTCAGTCACCCTGCGCGTTCCTCAGATTTGTCTCCTTGCGGTTATTTTTGCTTCCCAAAAAAAAAAAAAAGTCTCCTTTCAAATGACAGTTTTCTTCTGACATGGAAGAGGTAAAAGAAATGCGACATTCTACTATTGGAGTCAAAAATACATTGTCTACTATTAAAGATAAAAACAAAACTCTATACTCTTCTTTTTAATTACTTATCGTATTTGTATTAAAGCAGGAAGACCTCCAACTTTTCTATTTTTTATTACACTTTGATTACTTTATTTGCCATATTGTGAATATACACTATAACTTCGATTACTTGGATTTCAGTTACTCGAAATTTTTGATAGAATCATTTGTGGAACTAGAAATTCAAAAGTAAGTCAAAGTGAATATCAAAACACACTATTCGGAACTGATACTTATGCAAAGTTTTTAATAGTTCTTTTTGGAGGGATGTGTTCCTTCAATTTTGGCTTATTGAAGCTTGACTACATTTGGATTAATTCTTCGTTTTTTTCCATGAGAGCGATGTCATAATGCGTAGTTTCAAATTAAGTTTTTAATAATATAAATTGAGTTTAAGAATTTGACGGTTTTGATTATATTTCATCGTTTAGTAAAAATGTATGAAATCTAAATTTTATATGAATGCTCTTACAAAAAAAATGGGTAAGTTTCCGTTTTGCCGGGGCAGGCGATAAAGTCGCCAATAGTGGTACAACCGATATATCCTCCCCATGGAGGTAGGAAAGGGAGGAGGAGCCATTCCGCGCTAGAAGTGAAGCACTGCTTTGAAGCTTGGGTCACCAGACGGGGTGTTCTTTGTTTACATTCAGAAGCTCGCTTGACAAGATTCTGATAGTATTTCGACACACGACAGTTCCATAGAAATCGAAAAAGGGACGCTCTCGCATGAAAGAAACATTCATAGTGTGATGGATAATAGCAATTTGTATAGTTTACTGACATTTACGCAAAAATCACATCTTGGTTATTTTTCGATAACTAACAACAAACAGCGATTTTGATTATGAATTTGTTTTATAAAATTCTAAGCTGTTGCACTACAAAAATATAGATTTTAAGAAAATTGCTAAAAGAGATCTGCCAAAATTTATTTTCTAGAAGATTTGAAAAGTTTGAAACTTGATGGCTAAATGTAAATATAAAATTATGTATGTTAAAATATTTGTAATTAGGCACATAGGTCAGATTAAGTTTTTTATTAAATAGAGTAACGCATGCAAGGGCTATCTGCCTAAAGAGAGAGATGCCATTGTGGAGGAATTTTGAAGAAAAAACTGACCTTTGAGTGGGTATTAAAAATAATACTTATAATTTTCATTCAAAATTATATTCATATATATTTTTTTATGTAAAACTTTCGGGTGTATGCTAAATTAGTGTAAATTACTTTACACGAAAAATATAGTGAATGCACAGAAATTAAAGATTTGCACATGCCGGAAATGATAAATAGGAAATATGTATGGGTATTTATGCATGTGCTTGCAAAACGCATGTATCTGCCTTTGACAAAATACTTAAATATTCATTAAATTATTTATAAATGTATTTGAAATGAAGAATTTATTCACTTATAAAGAACTGTGAAAGTACTGTGAAGAAATCTAATGATTAAATGTATCTAATTTATAATGATTATAAATATTATCTAAATATATAATAACCTTAATATTGAATTGTAAACATAAATTGAAATCCTGTTGACAAATACGTTATAAAACTATTTAAGCAAGAATTGTTCGCATTGGAAAGCAATCTGTTAAAAGGTATTGTAAAGCAAATGCTATGAGATGCGCACTTAAGAACGTAATAAAGAGTTTTGGAATATGTATTGTTGAAATGAAGGGTAAAAAAAAAATCTGATAATTAAAAGAATTATTCCCTTTACATTTTATAATAACTCAGTTACAAGTTTTAAATAATACTTAAAAAAAAAAAAAAAAAAAAAAAAAAAAAAAAAAAACTTATTTTATTCCCTTTCAGAAATGTTCAGAGAAAGTCAAATACTATTTAATACATATTTAATTATTAGGAATTAGCGAAATACTTATTTAAAGTATTTCGCTAATTCCTAATAATTCTCTAATTTAAAATGAACCGAATAGAGCATTAATTATAAATTGACTTACATTTTTCGATTTAAAAGAAGCCAAAAAATCATGTCATATTTAAGAAAGTATTTTAGGAAAAAAGCTCTATAAATAGAAAAGAAATAATGCATAATTTTAATATTAATAATACAATAAACTTTGATCTTAATTTTTGTACCTTAACCGAATAATATCGAATTACCTTAATTTTTTTTCTAGTGTAATTAACGAAAACTTGTGAAAATATTTCATTCAAATTAAACCATTCTGAGAAAACTGTCCTGTGAAAAGTATAGCATTTAATTCCGTTCAGAATGAAATGTTGTTTAAAAATATGTTGTTTTCACATCCTCCCTGGTAACCTTTTACTCCTCGTTTTCAAAAGAAGTTGCAGCCATTTCTTATCAGATTGATTGTTCTTTCAATACTGGCATACAATTATGTATAAATTTTACCAGATAGTTTATTTTATACCCTAAGGCCATTCGCGGTAATTAAGTCAATTAGGATGCAATCACACCGCTCACTCGAAGACGAAAATATAGAAAAGGCAAAGTCAAGGTTTAAATTATTAAATTCTAATGAGAATGCCCTTGCGAAGTAAAGCACTGCGGTTTTACATAACTTCTGAGTAAGCTATTCGTACGAATTGAAATAATTCTTGCATTTAAACTTGTATTCCAAATTAAGATTTAACTTGAAATTAATGTAGATAAATACTGAGGGAATTAGATTTTTGTAGAGTAGTTTACGTGAGATGAGATAACTTGGGATCACGTAATATGAAGCGGCGAATCAGGATGTTGAATCATGAAAGCATAATAAATTCTTGAATTAATGTCTTTTTACAAATTTATTGTCTTTATTTATTGGTTTTTTACGAAATTTTAAACGATGTTAAAAGGTTTATGCCTTGAAAATAAAAAATTCTTAGAGCTAACATTTGTTAACATTTTTTATGTGTATACTGTATGTTGTCGCCAATACAGTCTGCTTGGCGAGATTTGCGCCGACGAAAGGGAAAAGTACCAAAAAATGTTCCAAATATCTAGTTTTTCCTCATATTATGACCAATCATTTTAAAAAATACGCTTTTTACTATGTCATTTATTGGTCTTAAAAGCTGTCAAAACTATATGATGTAAAATACTTGCATTCGATGTTAACATCGGATCACTAGGTGAGGCAGAATAAACGCTGAATTCTGTTGACCCCCCCCCCCCAAGAAAAAAGAGAAAAAGCTGCAAGTCATTTCAGTAAAAGTCCGATTTTATATCAAAATTCGTATGTTAAAATAAAGCTGTATATAAATCTAATATATATACTAAGCAGTGCTTTCAAGAAATGAAAAACGAAAGTTGAATTTCGTCAGTCAGCCAAGTAGAACGAGAAATATATTAAAACGGACCCTTTCCTCCCTCTCCCGATTCGCTATACATGACTTATACGTTCGCAGCTGTGGACATTGATTATAAATCAAAAATATAAGAAATAAGAATATACATATATATTTGAATAATAAATATATATGTATATGTATATTCATATATATTTTTATTTATATAGAATATACATATTTATTTTATATTATATATATATTATATAATATAAAATATATATGTATATTCTTATAAGAAATAAGAATATACATATATATTTGGGAGAGGGAATATTATAAATTGAAAAATGCATTATTGTGTAAAACTTTCGCTAATTTGAGTTTTCAGGAATGCAGATTTCGAACTTTACTTTCAACAAAGTAAAAAACGCTTTTTAAAAATATTTGGAAAAACCTCTCAGAATAGCGAACTCCTAACTATAAATAATTATGAAATATGAGTAAAATTCAGAAATTATCTTTCATGGATTAAACCAAATGGCGATTTATTATTTCTTATTCCTAAGCATCACAAAATCATTTTGCGCCTGGTCAGCACATAAGTATTAAATTATGATCTGAAAATAAGACTGGTATATCTTCCGCATAGACAAAATTTTAGCATTTTTCTAAGATAAATTGAATATTGGCATTTCTTGAGTAGTACCATGGAACAAAAAAAAAAAAATTGGGTACTCTTCTGTTATCAGGACCGGATTCATAAATGTATGTATGTATGCATTTGTGTATGGATGTGTTCATTTATGCATATATATAAATACGCACATATATTCGAACATGCATTCTGAATCCGATCTCGATAACAGATGAATACCAGAATTTGTAATATGCAGTTTTGGGTACTTACGCATTATTTCAACCACCATAATAAAAATTAGCAAATTTTCAGACTACGTCAAACTGACAATCATTCATATATAATTCAGTTTTAATGAGCAACGGTGCCATTGTTCTTTTTGTTGTATTCCATACTCCAACAGTTTTTAAGAACAAATCGTGATATTTTTTATTTTAAAATCAGCTTTAAAATACACAGTTGTGAGATTTGCCTATAATGGAAAAAAGTGGACTTGAGTAATTTGCCGCGAAATTGCTAAGAGAAACAATTCATTTGAGCCTATGGCACAATGTCTCGATATTTCCACCAGAACGAAAGAAGTAAAAGCTCTGTAGTAAATAGTTTTATACTCTTTTTTTTTTTTTTTTTTTTTTTTTTTGTTAAATCCCTATTTAAAGCGTAAAAATATATGCAATAACATTTGTAGCCGTGATAAATAATTTTTTGGAATTTTCATTGTTTTTTCCCCCTGTAAAAGTTCGCCAACCTGCGCCAGTGTGGTTACACTAATATGTAAGGGTTACAGCCGAAAACATCGCGCCAAAAACATCGCAGACGAAAAGGTTGCGGAGAAAACAACGCAAGGAGAAAACGTCGTGCTACAAAACATCGTGGGAGAAAACATCGCAAAGAGAAAACATCGCAGTTCTAAAATATCGTGGCACAAAACATCGTCGTGGAAAATAAAGCGGCGGTTCAAAAACTTCGCAGGTTAAAAACATCCTCGTCGAAAATATCGTGGTAAAAAATAAAGTATCTACAAATCATCGCATGACGATAACATCGCAGACATGCTTTTTTCAGGTTTTAATAATTGTAAATGGATATTCCCATAATGATTTGTGAGCGCAAGATGGAAAGAAGGATAATTTTTACTTTCACATTTTTTTATTAACTAATAAATTTTTGCTGAAAAAGTAAGAAGGAAACTTAAGCATAGAAAATTAAATGCAACTTATAGATTATACTTTTCATGAAAAATTACCAGTAAAAACTTTATAAAAAATGATTTATTAATGACCTCTGTTAGTTAACTAGTGTCGGTTTAAAATTCTATTAAGTGCTATAAGTTGCATTAATTTTCTATGCTTAAGTTTCCTTTATATTTTCTCAGCAAAAATTTATTGATTAATAAAAAATATGAAAGTAAAAATTATCCTTCTTTCCATCTCGCGCTCACAAATCATTACGGGAATATGCATTTATAGTTATTAAAGCCTGAAAAAAGCATGTCTGCGATGTTATCGTCATGCGATGATTTGTAGATACTTTATTTTTTACCACGATATTTTCGACGACGATGTTTTTAAACTGCGAAGTTTTTGAACCGCTTTATTTTCGACGACGATATTTTGTACCGCGATGTTTTAGAACTGCGATGTTTTCTCTTTGCGATGTTTTCTCCCATGATGTTTTGTAGCACGACGTTTTCGCCTTGCGTAGTTTTCTCCGCGACGTTTTCGTCCGCGATGTTATCGGCGGACACCATATGTAAGTACTTAGGTTTTCTTATATTTGGAGCAGTTTACTCTTGAGATAATATTATAAGTTTCTTGTGAATAAAATATTGCTCAAAATTCTTAGTAACTGAAGTTTTGTTTATTTTAAATATTTAATATATTCCTCGAATTTTTCTTCAAAATCTACTTTTTTGCGTTGAGTTTTTGATAACTATTTAATAACAAATGAAAAAGTGTCGGTTTAATTCTAGTACACGGTACACAGGGGATTTGGCGACTTTTGGCGACATTATGATGAGCGGTAAATGCAGCATTTATGATGAGCAGTAAACGAGTCATTTTGGTGTTGGTGAGAATTTACAAAATTGCTCCATATACCAGGATTTCACTAAAGTACTGAAGTCTTACTGAATACTAATCAAAAATTGTATTTCATCTTTTATGTACGAAATCCGAGCAATTGATTGGTGAATATTTGACTTACAAGAATACTGTTAAAAGACGCTGCTTTTAAATTAAAAACTTTCTTTTCATACAAATAATCTCAAACAAAGCCCAAGACATTCAAAGCGTTTTTAAGTCTAAAGCTTTCAAAGCAAGTTTTCTAATTCAAAATAAAATTAATAACTTTAAATTTCTTACCTCCTTCTACAGCTTTCTGTCTATTTGCTAGTAATCTTTGAAAATACTGAGCACAATAAGATGTTATGTCGTTCGGTTCTTCTGCTAAAATTCCCCTTATTAATGGAACGATTTGACTTTTGAATTCCTCGCGTATGCGGGTAATTTTCTGTTGGGCAGTTTGGTAATTAGCCTAAATAAAATTTCACATTTTATTAATTATCAGTAATATAATACGTATTGCAAAATAAAAGGTAAATCTCATTACCATTTAGAGGTTAAGTTAATATTTCCCAGTAACTACTTCAATTATATTACAATCCACTTTTTCCATAAACTGTTTGTTTAGAAAACTGAAAAAAGGAAAAGTTGAAGTAACAGAGTACTTACTTTCATTTCTCTCGTGAATGGGAGGAAACATATTAACAAAATAAAAGTAATTAAAAAGTGAAATTTACTTTATTTTTCCTGCATTTCGAATGGCAACAGTCGGAAAAGAAACTACATGAGAAGTATTGAAATAACAGGAAGACATACAGAGAGTCATTTTTGTTGCCATTTATGAAAATGAGCCGCATTTCACTGTTTATTGTATTTAACTATTTATATAACAAAAGGATTTTTTTATATAACAATTTATATAACAAAAGGATGTTTAGGGTTTTAAATGTCTTTGTGGAGACTTGCCTCCTACAACTCAACGCTGCCAGTCTGGTAACCCATAGCAACCAAAAAAAAAACCAAATAATTTTTATTCTATTCTATTGTTATGATTATTAACGATCTGGCTCAATTATTGTACTAGCTTAATAAAAAGTGTATTACCACAATTGGTGACCCGTATTCATTACGAATTGCAACCTTCAATGTTGCACGAATATGGAGTTTATATGTCAAAATTCTGAGCAACAAGAAGTTATGCAGTGTTATGAGATGCAAGTAAAGCCGTTATCACATTAGCTGTTTGTTGCCGGGACAAAACGTTTGTAGCAACAGTTCTGAGAAACGGCCTTTGGCGAAATAGGGTTACCATCTTCACTTGGCAAACAGGCTGAAAGCCAAACAAGAATCAGTTATCGCTCAGATTGGCGAAAGTGACGTTTCCTTTCAAGTGACATTCGCTTCTTCGTGTTGTTTTGTATCGCTCACACGCTTTTCGTTTTAAACTTTATTGTTAGTAATGGAAGATAATAGAAAGGTGATTGCTATCAAGTTAATCACTTTGATCTCCACTCTGGCACTTCATGTAACAGATAAACACACTTCTGGTTATAGCAATCAATTACATCAGTAATAGCCAAATTCTGTATACACCTAAGAATAGTTTAAAAACATGTGCTGGATAAGTCTATTTATCACACATCGCTTATGTGTATTTTCTGTTGTCTGCATTTCAATGAAAATTTGATGGCTCACTGGAAAATTGTGACCTGGTGAAAGCATGAAAGCATTTTCTGACTAACTTTATGGCTCATAATTACTGTTCTGTCCATCATTCAAACAAACAGACAAAAAAAAAAAAAAAAACCTTCTATGACAAAAAAAATCTATACAGCTGATATTTACCTCCTCACAGCCAGCAGATACTATTCAGCAAAATGAAGATCAAATAAAGCATATGAATACATGAGCAATCAAACATGTGCGAGTTGTTTACTGTCCCATAGAACACTCGGTAATATACCTAAAACACATTAATTATACCAACTCTAGAAATTAGGTGTTCACATCATGAGTTTGTTTTATGGTTTGGTTTATTGAGATTACAGCAAAGCACACTAGGGCTATCTGCCTAAGGAAAAGGATGCCTTCGGGGAGGACTTTCTAAGAGAAACTGGCTCGTATACACGTTACACATGGGGAAAACCACGAAAGCGTCCATGCAGCAAGCCCGTTCGCGGGATTCGAACCTCGGACCGAACTACCAGTGTTCAGCGACTTTACCGCTCGGCCGCTGGTGGGCTCAGTTGGTTTTATGTGATTACTGCAAAGCCTCGAGGATAACAACAGGAGGGATCCCTTTGTAGAAGATTTTTTAAAACTGGCTCGTATACCAGTTACAAATGGGACAAAACCAAGGAAAACGTCCCATGTAGCCAGCCCGTTCGCAGGCATTCTAACCTGAGACAGAACTACCAGTGTTCAACCGACGCTTCGGCCACTGGTAGGCCCGTGCACTTAATTGGAAAGTGCAATTCCATTATGTAAACAGACATGAAGGTGATAATCAGTTGTGCGCTGTTTTAAGTAAATCAAATGTCTATAAATGGGATCAGCTCCTGTTAGGCATTTCTTATCCCTCGATTTATTAGTCATGTTTTTATTACGTAGAAACATACGTATGATATGCACCATTATGAATTTCTACCCAATTGGTACAATTAATGTGTACACTCTTTAGTACTCAAATACTCATCAATTATTTTTCAACTGATTATTACATACCCATAATAATTTGCAAAAAACTGATAACTATAGTTGCTGCCAATTACATAATCGTGAATCTGAATTAAAAGTAACTTTCAAATAAACGTCCTTGGCAATGTTCATTTTTGTATTCATACATACATCTATATCTACACATCTAATAATTCATATATTTACATACAGATAGAGAGATGCGATGGTTTTAGAAGTTGTTAATATATATTTATTAGATTAATGTAATGAATAAAATTTATATTAATGAATGTATATACAAATGTTTTTCACCATGCATAATAATAAATCCAAAAATTTTCAATGTTTCAATATGTAGCATTTACAATAAAAGTATAGTTTCTAATGTATTTATAATCCAAAAAGTATTTCATTAATAACATGAAAATAATAGACAAATTTAATGAGTATTCTCATTACTACATAAGCTATGCTTTTCTTTTTTATGCATTTTTTATGCTGTTTAAAATGTGTCACTGATTATGCAGTTAACAATTTAAAAGGTAAGTAATTAGGAGAAAAGCCGCGCATATACAAACGGACTTAAAAAAATTCAACTTAAATTTAAGAAATAAATTCTATTATATAACAGTGTTTATATACACGATCAGCACGAAGTACGACAAATTTGGCGAACTTTTGGCTACGAACAATTTGTAAACAAAGCCGAAACGCAAGAGACGTCGTAAAATACCGTCAACTCTGAAATTTCCACGATTATATATTTAATGAATATATACACATTTAAAAAATGACTCAGGCAGTTGTATTACAACAAACAGCAATAATTTAAATCGGCCTCTATTCCACGTCCACACTTCACAGTGAGAGCCATCGCATATTGAAAGTTACCCGTGATCCTTCAGAAGCTGACCTTTTCTGATTGGCTGAACGTTCGAGGAACACGTCTCCAGCCGGAACATTTTGGGAAAAGTTTTAAATGTTGCTCGTAGCCGGGACACGTTCCTCCTAGCTAGAACGAAACATTTCGGAAGCCGCGCTTAAAGCCGTGCTACTAGAATCTCGTTTCTCGGAATTGTCCCGGGTAAGCGCGCGCGTCTATAGATGTGATAACAGCATAAGAGATTTCACCTCTGATTTCAAGCGTTGTGCCGCATTCCGGTGAGTCAACATATTTCTGTCATAATGTTATCGGATATATGTAGCGTCTGCTGCATTTGAGCCGCCAATTTCTCTGATTTCAAATACCAAGAAACCGTGTCACTATATACATATTGATTATTGCACATATTCTATACATATTATTATTACATATTATTATTGTGCATATTCTATACATATTATTATTGTGCATATTCTATACATATTATTATTGTGCATATTCTATACATATTTGTGCTTATTTCTATACATATTATTATTGCACATTTATACATATTATTATTGTGCATATTCTATACATATTATTATTGTGCTTATTCTATACATATTATTATTTTTTTTCTATATTTCTATACATATTATTATTGTGCTTATTCTATACATATTATTATTGTGCATATTCTATATTATTATTATTGTGCATATTTGATTGTTCTAAAATGGTTGACAATGATGCTGCTTCACAACTGGCGCGAGTGGCAGTTAAGCCACCGCTGAGACCCATCGTTATGGTTTATTCAATTGGATACGCAGTTTAAATTGAGTCACATTACTGCCGACGAAACTCAGTTTTATACAGCGATCGCCGCGTTAGAATCAGAAGTACTGCAATCAGCTCGTGAAATACTTTTGAATCCACCGGCGACGGACAAATACAAATCTTTAAAAAAATTAATTTCTGTTTATGAAGAATCCGACACAGTTAAAATAAAGCAGCTGTTGCACGATTTACAGTTGGGTGATACGGGGCCTTCTCAATTGCTGTCTAAAATGTCAGACTTAGTCGCCGGTAACCTAACGGATAACATTCTTAAATTATTATGGATGAATAGACTCCCATCTAACATGCAAGCCATTTTAGCAGCCAGTAGCGAGCCACTTAAAATTTTTCCCGAAATCGCTGATAAAATTCACGAGCTGGCCATTCCAGCGCAAATACACGCAGTGCAGGTTCCTGGTCCAGGTATTGTGGCGTGTTACAGGCTCAAATTGATGATTTGTCCAAACAGGTTGCTCAGTTAGTAGCCATTTAAGCTGAACCTTTTCAACGCAACCGCTCCACATCACGTAGTCGAAATACACGTGGTAGCCCACTGAGGAAACGTTATGAAAGCCCTCCTCCGGGTATTTGTTTTTACCACCACAAATTTGGAAACAAGGCAAACAAATGCCATCCGTGTCGTTTAACGACCCGGGAAACGAGAAGGGCCGTCTCTCGAAGTCATGAAGGACAGCGGCCGGAATTTTGCACGCCTTTTCGTCATCGATAAGAATTCGGGCTTAAAGTTTCTTGTAGACACCGGGGCTGATGTTTCTGTCGTTCTACCACATTTTCACGAAAAAAAGCGCTTTACCAAATTACAACTTTATGCAGCAAATGAAAGTCCTATTCAAACTTTTGGTGAACGCCTGATATCTGTTGATTGCGCCCCAACTTTCAATGGCCATTCATTATTGCTACTGTTTCAAGTCCTATTATTGGCGCTGACTTTTTACAAAAATTTTCTTTGCTTGTCGATCTTAAGAATCGCCGTTTGGTAGATTCCACAACCAACTTAACTTATCCTGGAGTAATTCGCAAAGTCAAGGTTTGAGCATTAAACTGATTTCGGGTAACTCCCCATGGCATCAACTTCTCAGAGAATTCCCTACAATCCACGCGCCTAGTTATGGGTATTTCTGAATCCAAACACGATGTACTATATTATATTGAAAATACCGGACCTCGAATTGCCTCTAAACCAAGACGCTTACTTCCGGAAAAGCTTAAAGCCGCCAAAGAAGAATTTCAATACATGATGGAACAGGGAATTTGCCGTCCTTCAAAAAGTTCATTGAGCAGTCCGCTCCATCTAGTTCGGAAACGAAATGGTAACTAGCGCCCGTGTGGAGATTATCACCGGTTAAATGCAGCTACAATTTCTGATCGTTACTCAGTCCCGCACATTCAAGACTATGCAAGTTTTAGAGGGAAAAGTTATTTTTACAACCTTTGGTCTTGAGCAGGGCGTATCACCAAGTGCCCGTTAACCCAGCTGATATTCCAAAAACTGCGGTTATTACGCCTTTTGGACTATTTGAGTTTCCGGTCATGACTTTCGGCTTATGCGAGATGCTGCTCAAACGTTCCAACGCTTCATGAATCAGGTGTTAATCGGCCTTGACTTTTGTGTATCTTATTTTGATGACTTCTTAATCGCCTTCTCTTCAGAGCAAGAACACCTATCCCATTTGAGAACAGTTTTTGAACGTTTTCAAAGGTACGGTGTTAGTCTTAATCCTTCCAAATGCGTTTTTAGCCAACCAAGAGTATCCTTTCTTGGTCATGAAATTTCCGCTGATGGCGTTCGATCCCTTCCAGAGAGTCACTGCTATGCGCGATATGCCCGAACCATCCACAGTGAAGGACTTCAGAAGATTTCTTGCTATGCTCAATTTTTATCGACGTTTCTTACCTCATGCAGCGACCATACAATCACCTCTAAATTCATTTTTGGTTGGAAGCAAGAATGGAATTTGGTTGGAAGTTTGATTTAAGGGCCAACTATGTTAGATAATTGTGTCTAGCTTCAGCTATGTCTGGTTTAGTAAAGATTAGATTAGTTTTCTTATTTTAATATTCTTAGTTAAAGCCCGAGTAAAGGCTTCCCTGTATACCCGAGAAGGGGACCGAATGTATTATTTATGTGAGTGAATAAAGGAGCAATTTAACCCTTCTCGAGTCTATGTCTTAGTTGTCTGAACTCAACGATAAGTCGCTACGTAGTTCATTAGGTTCCTAGACGTTTTAGCATAGAAAAAGAGGAGAGGAACACCACACATTTTAAGTTATATTATTTTAGCATTAATTCTAAGTTTCAGTTTTAAGTTACATTAGTTTTAAGATGTCAAGACTAATTTTAATGGTGTTATTCAACACTAACACAGAAAGCTTTTTTTTTTTTTTTTTTTTTTTGAAAAGTTAACGGCATGTCTGTGAAGAACGTAATGCGTGCTACCACACTTTTTTCCTTATCTTTAAATTTGGAAAGATATGCTGCATTGCGCCTGATCATTGCATATATCTAAGCAATTTTCCCAGGTACAAGTATTATCAGAAGGTATTAGTACAGGTATCAGAAGTATTCATCCAAAAGATTTAAGGATTTCATTCGATGATATATTGGTTGGTAGTGATCTCCAAAACAAAGCAAATAAAACTCTTATATCAAAGCACTCAAGTCAGTCAATAATGCAATACTTCCTACCGGGAATGTATCGTCATTATTTGAGATTGTATCTTATCAGTAATATATAAAGGAAAGTGTCCTTTACTACACAAACTAACTAAGTGTCTTTAACTACACAAATAAACTTCACAAAGACGGCAACCGCACAAAAATATGGCGGTAATATCATGAAAATTTTTCATTAACTCCATATCGACCAAACAACCTTTGTTTAATGAGGCTACGTTCCGTAAATCTCCGAGCAGATTCTAAAAATTCTCGAAGGGTGAAATACGAGAAAGAAACCTACTCAAGTTTATCGGCCGACGTTCCATTCAGTTTCGCCGTCTGTCCAACTCTTCTACAATAAACTTGGAACAAATGGCCTCAGAATGCTCAAGCCTCGTCTGCTAGAGGAGACATCAAATTCAGCCTGGCGAAGTTTCATTCAGAATATAACTCCTAATTCTCTTATTTTTTCCACTTTTTTTTCTGATTATTTAAATTTAACTCAGTTGTTATAATTTTCCTGAAGCGAGTGCGGAGCTCATGGGAAATGCACACGGAGCTCTGAGAGTTCCGCAGAGCACACACTAGAAATCGCTGAGTTAGAGTATTAGCAATGTTCATAAAACTTACTCTTCTGGGAATGCGGGGGGGAGAGAATTCATCAATTTTCGTTTACTTTGCGCTATCTTCTGTTGGTAGTAATGAAGCCACACACACTGTCAGCTATCTGACGTCATACATGTGTCACAGTCGTAGCCGAATAATAAATATGCTGCTGTATTGTTTATTGGAAGATACGAGCATATGTATCCTCAACATTATGATACCAATAGGAAGGAAGTCTGCTTTCCATTATGTAAAATGTGTGTGTGTGTGAGATTATGGCAAAGCCGCGAGGGCTATCTGCCTAAGGGAAGGGATGCCTTCGTGGAGGACGTTTTAAGGGAAACTGGCTCGCGTACACGTTAAAAATGAAAACCACGAAAACGTCCATGCAGCCAGCCCGTTTGCGGGATTCGAAACTCGGACCGAACTACCAGTGTTCAGCGACTTTACCGCTCGGCCGGTAAAGTCGCTCGGTATTTCCTCCTCGCAATAAAAAGATGTGAAATTTACCATTTCATTACCTCCCGGATCATAGAAAAAGAAGAGGAAACAGTACTTTCCCAGAGCACTGTCAGTAGTAGCCTATATAATCAGTGCGCATACCGTCATCTCTATTGTGTTCTTTTATTTTAAACTTGCATTTGATATGCTAAATTACTATTAAAAATAAAGCAGGATATTTTGCAGTCCACTATTTCTAATCCGTTATTAATTAATGTGCGTATTATTATCTGTATTTTATTACGAACTCATTCATCATTGATACTTATTGATACTTCTATTGTTTTCCTCTTCTGTAAGGGTGCTAAATGAAACTTTTACAGTAGTGCTACTGTAGCGCTATTATTTCTTTTATGGGTTTAGGTTTGCTTCAATGTATTTGTCTTTTTTGCAATTATAATGCTTCAATAAACAGCCAGCCTGGCGCAAAATCACAAATCTGCATTTTTTTGCAATTTTTACTGGTACGTAATTTCTACCAGATCCTTTTTTTTTTTTTTTTTTTTGCATTTTATGTACTTTCTAGTAGATCTTTTCTCCGCGTTTTACATTACGCTAAAAGAAAGACATATTTTTTTTCTAATATTAACAGAAAGTGATTGCACAAAATACAACTCATTTGTCGGTATGCGCATTGACATTTGCCGGTATTGCAGTTTCTGCAATTATATAAAACTCATTATTGCTTTCCTTCTTTCTCATTTAAATCTTTAAAGTCATCTTACTCCCAGCAACGATTTTGAATATTTCTTTTTTTTTTTTTTTTCGCGTTCAGTAATTGATATAATACATAACACTAGAAGAAAAATGTGAAGAACCTTTTTCTTAATTTAGAGGAAATGTTACCAAAATTAAATTAAAAATTTTCTAATATTTTGACTGGGCAAGTCAAATGTATACGCGTGTGTTTGTAATGCATGGCAGACTAAACAGCTAGACAGAGCCCCTGCATCATGCATTTAAAGAATAAAGGCAAAACCGACTGTACTTCGGCATAGTAGGGAGACCGCCACCGAAGGGTAGGCCATTGAACACTGGTAGTTCGACATGGATTGATTTCATATGAATGGGCTGACAGCACGGGCGTTTCCATGGTTTTTACTATATATAACGCAGATACGAATCAGTTTCGCATGGAATGTTCGCTATGAATGCAGCCTTTTCTTAGCGTACTAAGCCAAACCAGTCGCCGTAATAATGACACTGCTGGTACAGTATAGTAGTAGAGCGTCGGTTAGTGGCGTGCTTTAAAATGAAACATTTCCACTTATCAGGTGCTATTTAACAGTAGGTAAGGCTAGAGTTATGATATAAAACATTTATGAATCGGAAGATATCTTTGCAAAGATGGGCAAAAAGAACGCTCTCAAGCATTCCTTCCTCAAAGGCGCGAAACATATAATAACTTTAGTAAAGCCTGACCTGATTAAGATAGTCTAGTGTCTCAAGAGTAGCGTTCTGGGTAGAAACATGATATTTAAATTAATAATTAAGTTTTGAAGGATCTGACGTTCTCTTAAAAAAAATTTAGCTGTACTAAAGGCATGGTTCATAGCAATAACGAAACCCCATAGCCCATATTGGCGAAAGCCTTGGCGGAGGTCCCTATCGCCACTTGGTCGAAGCGGCTGATTGTTATTTTGAAATTGTGTGCGTAAATTGATAGCTATGATTCAATCTTTTCGGGTATGAACGAATTATTTTGCGATGTAATATTCTTTTATTTAACGTATTCATAATTTAGAACATATATTTAAGAGTTTTCATTTAAACCTGTGTATTATAACGTGTGTTTTGAAGAAAAAAAAAAAATTCTAGTAAAAAAATAGTAGTTTAAAAAATGCGTCTTGCAGGAACAGTTAAAATATTGCTGGCCCTTTAGATTCAGTTTTACGTAAATTTAATGAGATTACGCCATTTAAGAAGAAAATGTAATATTTTTATAAACTTGTTTTCAAACTGCATTTCAGGAAGCACTTCCGCAGAGAACCCGGTAAATGTAAACATCGCCAACTTTGGCGATAATAGTTCAAACTTGGTAACCCATCGGATTTATCCTATTCGCTTGTTCGAAATTTGCAACCATTCCTCTTGCGTTTATTTTGTTGAATTAAGGCTGTCGTTGTTCGCATTTGCAGATTTATATTATTCTTCTCTTATTTATTATTATTTTTTCTGAATTTTTAACAACGAATAGATAGAAATATTTTCGTAGATAGATGCCGGTTCTCGGTTCGGGATGAATGCTAATTTGTAACACGGCTGTTCACGTTATGTTTTTAATTAACAGCTCTAAGAACCATGAGGTTTCCAAAGTCTAAAATAATTTGATTTCGTAGACCGCAAAAATGTGCATGTGCATTTTAAATGATTAAGTAATGCTTTTATTTTTATTATTGGTTATTGTCATCTAAAATTGTGAGAATAAATCAATTTTTATAAATAAAATTTTAACAAGATAATATATTGTTAATGCTTTTCTGACAATAACCTTTCAGAGGATGGCAGGTGTGACATAAATAGATGATTAAATTGAAATAAAAATATATTACTGATTGTCTAAGATGACAGAATAGTTTGATGCATCACCATGGTCATCAAAATTAGCAAACCACTGCTGGTGTAAGGAACATATTGTTTTCTGTGTTAACTGGAATTTAGGACAATTTTTTTTTCGTATATCACGTTTAACCGGTTAATTTCAGTATATTAATACTAATTTATATTTTTTAAATGAATTTTTATTTCCGTTATAAATGCTTATATATTGTCTTATGCTTAATAATATATTCCTTTCTGTGCTAACTTGAATTTAATACAAATTTATTTTCGTATATCGCGTTTACCCGTTTAGTTTTACATCTACATGCATATTATCTGTGAATTTTTACTACCATATGCTTAATATACTGTTTTATCTGCTAACTTGAATTTACATGCACTAAAAATCACGTTTACGGCTCGGCTCATCGTCGATGAACCGCGAGCTTGGCGAGAATGCAACGACGCCAACGGGCTCTTCCCGAAGCGCCAACGGGTCCTCTGCGGATAAATAATAAAGTTTTCATAATAAAGTTGATCAGCAAAGAGATGAATATATCTGAAACATAAATATAAAAAACTGAGGGGAAAATGCAGAATCGCCCACTACTTGGCGCGTTTTTAAGAATTGCACATACTCGGTATCCATGTGCGTTTTTAAGAATTGCACATACTCGGTATCCATGTACATGTCGACCTATTTTCACTTAAAAAAACATCCCAGAATTCCACAAAAATGGCATTGTGCACACTCTTGACTTGTACACACCAACCTATTTTCACTTAAAAAGTCAAAGAAAATTGACAAAAGTCCAATTCTTCTTACACTTTGTAAAAAGCGCCAAACAAATAAGTGGGCGATTCTGCACTTAGCCTCAATTTTATTTAGAAAGTCCACCAGTATCATTTAGATACCATGCAGAATGTCCAAAGCAGTTGCTTTCTTTTATTGGCTAAATGAGTAAATATCCCTACATGATACATCTTTTATCTTCTTGAGGATATTAAAATATGCTATTTTTCATCATTCTGAGTATGAAGGGCCAATTCTGCTGATGTAATGATTTATTCATCACATTACTTTGCATTTTTCATATATGTCATTTCAAATTTCGAAACATTTTCGGGGAAAGTGCAGAATCGCCCACTGCTTGGCACGTTTTTAAGAACTGCACATACTTGGTATCCATGTATACATTGACCTATTTTTACTTAAAAAAAATCCCAGAATTCCACAAAATAGCATTGTGCACTCTCTTGACTTTATCCATGTACACATCGACATATTTTCACTTAAAGAGTCAAAGAAAATTGACAAAAATCCCAATTCTTCTTACTCTTGTAAAAAGTGCCATCAAATAAGTGGGGGATTTTTTTGGCTTGCTTTTGCTTTCTTAGCCAAAAATAATTCTGAACCTGAAGGGCAAAGACAGGTAGAACTTTCACAGCTGAGATACAAAACTGTATAAAAATATAAAAACATGAAGTGATAGTTTTTCACATCATAAATATTAGCCAAAAATTTATAAATATCAAAGAATTGCTATATCATTCAAAAAAAAATTCTAGATAAATTTCAAAAATACACTGAAATACTTTTTTCTACCAATGTATATAAATGTGAAAGTCAAAATTAGTAGAAGGGTTTATTTGCACCATGGAATTTCATTGTAATTTTCTATTCTACAAGTTAAACTTGGTGATTTAACATACTTTTCTAAAAAATAATCTGTTTTAGTAAAAATGCAGAATAAGTATAATTTAACTGAAATAAAAATAATAAACTTATGTAGAGGTTACGTAGTAAAGATGTCATTGTCATAATGTTAGTGATGGCTGTTTCTTGGTTATTAGGAAGGTTGGCCATTCTTTGAATGTCATGAAAAGTTTCATGAATAAAAAATAATTGGTATTGTTTTGAATTATTGTTAATGATAAATTTTAAAATTTTAGCAAACAAAATGCCATTAAACATAAGCTACATTCCAGCAGGTTGAATAATATAAAAGTTATATGGCTTAGTTTGGTACAGTCAAAAGTCGTTAATTCGGACACGCACAATCCGGAATGATCTATAATCCGGACCTCAAAGCTAAAATCTTTCTGCGCATGTGCCGCGTTGACGCATGCGCATAGGTGTTTACGCGTGCGCGTAAGACCTTTACGACTGCGCATATGGGTGTGCGCAAGCGCAGAATACGTTTTTGCGTGAGCATTTAATGTGTAACAGGACGGTATAAGCTAAAATTATCTAATTATCTGTTTCAGTTAATGTTGATGATTGCGTTGTTCCTTAATCTTCGAATTGGATCCAGCTTATTATTTTTTGCAGACTGTAAGAGCAATTTTATAAAAGTAAGCTTGAACTTTCGATTATGTCAAATAGAATTTCCAATGCTGGAGCTCCCAAAGGATCTACAAAACGAAAGTATGTTTTGATGTCCATCAAACAAAAAGTGTAATTGCTGCAAAAAATGGATAAAGGCATATCCTTTGTTTATCTAACCGTTCCGAAATCTGTTTGTCAATTTCAGGCTGCTCTGCATGGGGGGGGGGGGGACGTCGCGGCGCGCAATGAACTGGAAGTTGATCTGTCAGCACTTTCGTTATCTTCAGGGCAGATGTTTTTATTTTATTCGCCTTATAATTCCTTACTAAATGTAGTATTTCATCTCGATGTACTCCGTCTTTGATATGATTTAAATCAAATTCCTCATCATTATAAATATCACGAGTACAAATCAAATAGTTTTCTGGTTGCAATTTTCTAATTTCGGCTATTCGTAATGTATGCTTTACGCATGTGCGTGTTGAAAGAAATGTTTAATAAAGTAAACAAATAAATATTAAGCTTTTTTTTTTTTTTTTTTTTTTTTTTGTAAATTTTGATACTCTTTAGATCATAATTGCTCATTATTTTATAAATTACGGTTTCATATTTTTAATTTTATAATTTCTGCATGCCATCTTACCAGATTTAAACTAATGATCTATAATCCAGAAAAATCGATAATCCGGAATCGCCGAAGTCCCGATGAGTCCGGATTAAAGACTTTTGACTGTATTTATCTTTATCATTAATAAGACTGCATCTTTTCCATATGTATTGTGTTTTATTCATTAGACATTATCCATTAGGAAATAATGTGTTAATATGAAAAAAAAAAAACATTTTTTCAATGAATAACATTTTATAAATATTAAATCCATGAAGGGAATTGTTTTTTATACAAAGATTTGTGCAGAAATTGATGCTCATTTGGCTCATTAATACGTTTGTGAATCGAAAACCATGGCATAGTACAAATTCAAGCTAACAATATATTTATTAAAATCTGTTTTGTAAATTATTGATGCTGTGTAAAGATAAATCCTATTTGAGGGCATGTGAAAGAGCTATGAATTGATTTTGTAAATATTTGCTTTTTTATAATATAAAATATGTTCGCATTTTCTGCTTATCTGCACTCTAGAGCCTGATTAAGACTTTTAGAAGCCTTAAGCACTTAAAAGTTTTTGCTGCCCCCACATATGTTTATCGCAGTTTTTTCTTCATTTCTTTTCTTCCAGTTTTGGTTTAGTTGCACCATGCATTCCATGGTAAAACCAATGGGATTTTGTTTGGTGTGCCCTTTCCTGAGGACCTTTTTTATTGCACATCCTTTCTTTGATGCCATAAGCATCTGTGTATATTGCTTAATGGTTGATCCAGTCCTGCCACAGTCCCATTAAAAATTCTCAGACTCGGTACTGATTTTGTAGTGTAACATTTGTTTGAGTATCTTTATTTTGATTTCAGCAATAACTGCATATTTGTTACACTCTTGTTTTTCCATACAAGACAGACACACTTTTGATGTTGTGCACTGTTTATTCTTCCATGCACACATCAATCTAATAAAAGGAAAAAAAATGAAACGTCAGAGAATTGCACCAACTTGGCGTTGCACATAGTCTTGGTACCAGAGTTCTAAAATTAGATGCATGATGCCTTTAAGTGAGCCACATCGCGCTCTATGCGTGCAGAAAGCTAAGTTCGAGATTTTTCCAATAATCATCACAAAAACTGCAGTGGGATTCACCACTACGCTTAAACACTGAAACTCCTATTTGGAGGGATTGTAATCTGCAGTCACACTGCTGAAAATGTCTTTAGAAGTTAAAAGCC